AGTTCAATTTCACAATCCTCGTATTTTCGGAGTTCTGCATGTAAAGTTGCATCGTATTTGGCACTATACCTGCTTATAGGTAGGTAATTATTGCTTTACCTACTTTTTTCAGTTAGGTAGGTACCTACTTTGAGAGTAAGTAGCTATAGGTAATTACTTTTTCCTAAATTTAATCGGTAGTAAGTAATTAATAATCTTAGGTAGGTATTACAAAGACTTGGGAAAAATACATATACCTATAGGAAGCATTAAGTAGGTAAGTACCTACCTAATAATAAATGTCAAATGTCTATACCTATACATTTTAAAAATTAATTAAAAATCAAAATCTACTGAAATAGTGATTGAACCGAACACGTTTCGACAGCAAACAGTAACAGCTAAGTTGTCAGCTGACGATGACAACTTTGTTGTCAAAACACTTTTGCTTTAAAACTATTCAAATTCTATTTTTGGATGTAGATATTGTGTTCCAGATTAGGTATGCATCAGAAATCTGAGGTTAAACCAAGTGTGAAACAGACTGGGAATTTTGATAACATTTTTCGGGGAGACGTTGGAAACATACCCGTGCATGTCCCTTCATAATTTCTTTTAACTGTATAGACAATAAAATTGTAACGGGTTAGGTACTGCACATATATAGGTATAGAAATGCCTGGCGTTCTTTGGCATTTGGGCAAAATAATTTACCAAGAACTTCAATGTTTAGTAGAGGTTCTCAAAAAAAAGAAATAGTGATTTACGTTACGTCACCGCAACAAATAAAATTAATGCACCAAACTAGGTCAAAGTTATCCTAATTGCAAGTTTCCTCCCTTCGGATTTATTTATTCACGACAGGTTTTAATTCAATTGTTCTGTGAGTGCTAGGTACATGAAAATGAAATTTTTTAAATTTCGTATCTCTGCACATTTTCCTACTTTGCATTACTGAACTCTGCGACATTTACCTAATTATAGGTAGGTATGCATTTAAATTCTTAAGTGAATCGAAGTAAGATTGACTAAGTTACATAAATAAATTGATAGATATGCTGTTGAGATCATTCGTTGCTAAACTCCCAAACAATAAAACTATACTTATATTAAAAGGCGGGTAATTTACCTATCTAAAGAGATATTACTTTTGGTACAATTTTAGAATGTAGATACCCAAAAATAAATATTTTTACCTATACATTTAATGTAGGTACCTACAAATTTTGCTGATCAACATAGGTATAAAAAAATCGTCGAAAAAAAATCTGTCTGTATGTAGGTATCTGCTCTATTCCGGCTAAATGGCTGAACCAATTGGAACCAAATTTGACGTAAAAGGAAGAACTGAAAAACGTTTGGGCAAAATATACTTTATTACGAGCCATATAACAATTAAAGATTGATTTCTCAGAAACCGAACGCTGTAGGTGCGCCTATCTGTTCAAATAACAGCAGAAGAAAAAATTTGCTGTGGCTAACACCGATACCACCCGCACACCTGCGCATGTGCGATTCTGCCCTTTTATATCTAATATATGTGTACCAAATTTGGTGCCAATTGGTTCAACCGTTTAGCCGGAAATGAGAATAGAGGCGGACCAACAGACCGACATCATATAATCGAGATTCCTGCTATGTGAAAACGTGTGTTTCCGTCTAAAAGGTAGGGGGTTTTTACCCCAATGCAATACTTACCCCCCTTACTAACGTGGTAAGTAATTTAAAACAAAATCGGCAATTTCGGTTTTTCCATCATATCTTCGAAAGCAATCGGAGTTTTCTGGTTTTCTTTAAACCATGATGAGAATAACTATTTAATTGCGCAACTTTATCGTACTAACTACTTTGACCATCGTCGTATCTTCGATTTCTCAATCGTTGTCTTGTAGAGTCAGAGTAGAGTGCAAATAGTGACAATAAGAAATTTTTTTAAATTTTTTCTATCTGTTCCAATGTATTTTTCGCGAAGGACCCACGAGTACGTTGAACGCTAACTTCAAATATATATCAAAATATTTGCCTATGGCGCGTTCAATTTGGAACACACGGTATATAAAATATTGTAATTATCCTAGGGGTCTATTAAGCCGACACTGAAAACGTTGACTTACCCTATACTTACCGTTCGCAACTCTGGGAAAAACCTACGAGCAGCGCCACCCACCTTTCAAGTCGAAACGATGGACGTTCCGCGGCAGTTTTGAATTTGGATGGCAGCCGGCTCGATATGGGTGGCTACGTTGTGTAATCGGTTCTTGTATGTGTTGGGACGTGAGACATAATCGGGAAGGGAATTAAATAAAAGAACTTTTGTGCGTAAGAAATGACAAGAACAAATAAATATATATTAGGCACACAACAAGACCATACCAGGGAAACCTTCTACGGGACAAAAACCCCGGATTAGGCCGTCACCTGTAGCAATAAAATGCAAGAGAAAACACATATATAAAACATCTCAAATTGCATGATAAAAACCAGCTAATCAAATCAAATTCAATTAAACAAGTTCATAAAAACAAAATACAAGACATCATAAATGCAGAGGAAAACCTGATAAATCAATTCAGTACAAAAAACACATCAAAATACCTGAACAATCAATTGAGATAACCAACTCGTAAAATAATAAATTGCATGTACATAGGAAACGTGTAAATGGTATGGCTCTACTCCAGCCTTCAGTTAACATAAATTAATTTAACACGAAAAGTATATGTGAGAATGCCAATAGCAAGTATTCATGTGAAAATCGATTATCGCTCAAGCAGAACATATTTTGAATAGAGGAAATGTTAAAGAGAGCCCCTACATATGTCGCATTGCTAAGATGCTAAGAACTGCAATCCGCACGAGACGAGTAGGCAACAGATACAGCGAAAAATCGAACTGTAGTAGGTACTTACTCCACGGAGACAGAATGAACCACAACACACATAACGCTCTTATTGCAATGAGCGGAGATAACATGAGGCAAACTTTTACAAAACATTACAGGCAAATTTATCTGAATAATAGGAAGCGATTATTTAAACAAAAGTACGCATCATTAAGTAAATAATTCCCAAACAATGACCTCAAATTAAAAAATAAATGAAAATAAAGTCATACAGGGTGACCCATCGTTATTATAGATGCCGATACAAAATAAAACGTCCGCGTGGCGTTATATGGTGTACACTACAATATTTATTTAAAAAAATGAAGGTTTAATTTCCCTTGTGTAATATTTCAGATTGTGAAGAGGAAAAGATGAAGTTAGAAAAAGGGAATATTACTAAGTGACAATTTGCGCCGACTAATTTGATCAGTACTCGTTACTTAAAACGTATTTTAATTACACACAAAATTCAGTTATCGTTCATAGAACTTCAATCCGTTCAATTTTTTAACAAAACGCGAGACAAAACTACAAATAAATTCTTAAATAAAACAGATCATATGACATATTTGTCGGCCGTGGAAGATATCATATCCACGTTAAAACAAAGGCAAAATATAAATCAAAAGGCACTTTACAGTTACATTAGCATCTTCTCTATTTCATGTAATCAATTGCAGAACAATTCGTCACGACCGACGGTAGCAAAAATGTACGACACCCGAAAAGACATGACAAACCGTTACAGATTACCTGCACTTTTGTACCTGCTCCGATGGTTCACACATTGCATTGTAGAACGTCTGATCTTAAATACCTCATCAAAAAAAGGGTTTCGGATTGCGATATAGGTAGAAAAAGATAGGTCATTAAATTAATACATATGGAAAACCTAAAAAGACACGTGTTAACAAAATAAGGAATCTTTACCGTGTCCCATTCACGGAAATACGTTTAGATGTAGATTTCAGACAATTTTGCTTGATCTCTCTGGATTGTTAACATGAAATTCCCACATCTTTCGCAAAATAAAGACCAGCCATTTCAAAGACAAAAGCAACAGATATAAATATTCTCCTAATGTATAGCGGATTCATTCGGTTACTCAAACTAAGAGTACATTCAACGAAACAACGGGACATTACAGTACGTTGACCGAGATATCGGCTCGACGAATTTTATTGAAATTTTGGATATGCAGGTATATTAGGCATAGGTACGGAAAGGAAAAATAACCGACCGGATTTTTGAAAAAAAATGTGGGACCGCCGCAACGGCCTCAACCATTTTTTTCAAATTGTAAACTATTCGAAAGACTCCTTTTCTGTGTGTGTGTGTACAACCTACAAAACTTCTGTTAGGTTTTCTAAAAAAACGGATAATAAATGTTAAAGTTAAAAAATTAAAAAAAGTTTTGCATTAGGCGTAAGGGATGTGAGACTGTCAAAAACTTTTTTTACATCTGATTTAAGCTAGGAAGCCTGTTCTGTCGCGAATTTGACACGTGCTTTTTATTTGGAATGGAACATTTTTACAGTTTTAACAAAGATGCTTAAAATTGTACTTTATAAACTTTTATACTTTTTAGGTATATTTAACGTGCTTTTCTTTAAATTCTGAGTTGTAACCAAATTCATGCGCAAATTACACTGTATGTTCTTAAACTTCATTGATTTTACATCAGTTCGCAATAAGATTTAATTAAGTAAATTGATTTTAGTTAGTGCACGTAACGTATGCATTACAAACGTTATGTTACGGCCAACCGTCCAATACCTCGTCCTCACATGTTCGTTTGAAATATTTTAACCGAAAACACCTCAACGTGTGCCACAGCCACAATAGAGTATGAATATTCAAAATAACAATAAATCCGGTACATATAAATTCTTACCTACTCATATAAATTGTGTGATCAAAACTCTCTAAACCTTCTCCATATAGTTTTTATTCGTTGAAGTTTTTTAAAAATAAAAGCGACTATAGTTTCGGCGTACTGCCATCATCAGGCGACTAGAAGTTTGCGAAATGCACCGACGATTAGTTGACCGTGTTATAGAACATTTTTGTTGCATGAAACACAAACATCGTGACCATCATACAATAAATAAACAGTAATAATTTTGTTTTTTTTCAGATCGTGCTCAATTCAATGCACCGTTACCAGCCAAGAATTCATTTGGTCAAGTGGAAGGATCACACCGGTCCCGTCACCGATTTAGAACAAGAGCAGTATCGATCCTTCATCTTTCCAGAAACGGTTTTCACCGCCGTCACCGCCTACCAAAATCAATTAATTACAAAATTGAAGATAGACTCAAATCCGTTCGCGAAAGGATTTCGTGATTCCTCAAGGCTCACCGACTTTGATAGGTAAGTTCTTTGATTCGTTTAGCTTATTTACCTACTTTTAACGGTTAGAAATCAATTGAGGCTGCACTTTTGAAAGATAGCCATCGCAAGCTTTAGGTATATCTACGAGTTGTAATTTATGCAATCCCATTGTGCGGAGATGGAAAGCGATTTGTCAAATATGAAACATTTCAACTGGAAGATGATTATTATTATGTTCATTGTGCAGCATATTCAAGGTCCCAACATTCGATATTACGTTAATATAAGATAAAAATCACGTCTCGACAGATCTATAGGTAGTGTCTGGGTGGTCAAAAATCTTAAGTAATCCGTTACGAAATGTTTCACAAGATGGTAGATAATATAATTCTTTAGATATCTTGACAATCTTGAGTTTTATGGCAGTTTATTAAGTCATTGTACTAATTTCCTCTTTTTTTATTTGTAAACGATTAAATTTGTGGCAACCGCTTTCAGGCTTTTGAAAGGCACTTCTATTGACTGTCGATACCCACTTCGTATTCTTGATGCTTGTTTTTTCGATACGCTCGCAGGCGATCAAATCGACTAGGGTATTAAAAACGAAATGGATTTGACACCAAGTCCTTTTGATTGTGTAAGTAGTAGGTGTGACTTTTCTGCTCGTCCATCTACTATGCTAATGATCATGAACATTCAATTAACGTTTATGAAGTTGCTAGCATATCTACATAATAATGGTGATCAAGAGCTTTTCAAGAATTGCAAATGAGTCCCAAGGAATATTCGACTCTGAAACAAGTCCATTGAAAATTGAATATAAATTAAAAATTCTTCTTATTATTGGTTTTGCTCGAAAGAAGGTGACCACTGGATGTATTAAGTTCGCACGACAATAAATTCTTCGTAAATGGTGCCTGGTGGCATAAATAGTCAGTTGTACGGCTAACGACAGTTATACGGCTTTCGGTTCGAACTCTTACTTAATAATGAAATTTTTACGCGATCTCAAAAATGGCGTGTACAACTCAAAATATTTGCATTGAAAGCTTGGCGAAGAATTTCGTTTTACGCGATCTAAAAGTGCATCGCCCTACCTGCATAAGCCATGTTTTGAAAGTTTTGGTAAGAAATCCGCTCTCCCACCAGATTTTTACTTAAGCACTTGCCGAATTTAGAATACGAATCGAACCCACCGCAACCGAAGCGTTCACTCTGTTTTTTATACACGCAAAGGTATAGCAGAAAATACTTCTTTCATTCTTCGTCGCGACGGTTTTTAGAACCCGCACCACTGTAGCGTTTCGACCTAAAGCGACCACCTGTTAGTAACAGGTTGTACTTCATGCACCTTTCATGTTTTCTTTACCATGAATTCTTGATGCCTCGTTCCATTCGGCCTGTTTACTTTGCGTCTCCTTCAGATATCATTAATACTACCATTCCATCGTGCCCCTTTCACATTTTCGATATCAAAACTATATGTTTCATTTGCGTCTTCGTTAACGATTATTTCCTAGATTATTTCCGTCTTTTTCACGCTTCATGTTCTCTAAGTTTCCTCACGTTTGTTCCTTACATGTCTCGTTTCCTTACGCTTTCTTCATTAAGGTTTTCATTGTCCTTCACATAATCTTCATATCCTTTCTTCAAGCATCTTACACAATCGCTTCATGCTTTCTTAACGTCTATTTTTTTATCGGTTCATTTCTTTACGAATTTTTCACGTCTCCATCGTCCTCTAATCCATTTTCCTCCTCGAGTATGCCTTTTATACGTCGGCTAAAAATGTTTCATACTTTGCTGATCCCCCTTCTCACCTTCAATTGATACTCTGACGGCCGGTTGCAAGAAAGCGAATTATAATCGAAATCCAAGATTATTTGCCAAATCTGAGATTAAACAAAAATTTTGGTTGCATGATCAAGTATTGGATTAAACTAATCTTGATTATTCTAATCTAAGTTTATTCCTACTATAATCCCTGATTACGTTGGTTTTGGGTTGCATGAACCTGTAATCCTACATTTGTCATTGATCAAATCAAAATTATTCTAATTCGTCAAATCGGAGAATTAAACTGGAATTATAACGAAGAGGTAGAGGCGCCAATTGTTGGTGTAGATGATGACTCTTCGGTGAAAACAGCACTAGGGAATACAGTGTTTGCTGTATGAGTGGAGAATTGAAGAATTATAGAAAATTCACATTTTTTTAAAGCAATTACTGTCGTATACTTGTTTAAACTAGACAAAGTTTGTGACAATTCAAGCCCTTAACCGGCTCTGTAAGTCTAATAGTTTTGGAGATACAGCGTTTCAAAAATTCGAAAATTCTTTAGTTTTAATAAAATTTGCTTTTTTGCATAAAAACCTCTTAAACATTTTTATAATTTTGTTCGTTTGGGGGTACTTTGTGGTGAGGAGTCTCCATAAATCCGCACAGAAGGAGCTAGAATGTTGATATCCTCTGGATCCTCAGCTTCTCTCATGATAAGAAAGTTGTCATCTTCTTCTTCTTCTTCAGCAAGATCCACTACCTGTTGCATGGATTGCGAAATCTGTGAATTTTTTCCTTTTGCCTGACCTTGCTCGACAAGGGACACCGATTATAGAAGATCTGTGATAGTATCAGAAAGCTTACTCACAACACTATGATTTGAATAAGGCATCATATAAACATGGATATTTTTCCACTAGACAAAGACAAAAATCAATATTTAATTTGCTTTCATTATCCGCAATTTTTAGCACTTCTTCAACAACAAGTTACAACAATTCATCGTGCAAATTTGGTAAGTTTAGATTCTGCAAAAAAAAACGCAAAGTTTGATCAAACCTGTAAAACTAATAAATTTACCAATATTTGAAGCTCCGTATCTCGGAAACTATTAGACTTGCGGAGATCGTTAAGACCTTAAATTGTCAGAAATTTTGTCTAGTTCATAAAAGTATACGACAATAATTGCATTAAACTCGATCCTTCAGTAGTAAAACTTACAAAAACCAAAAAATGGTAAGAAAAATGACATATTTTCAAGTGCTGTGTCGCTCGCACAGGTCTTTCAATGTCGAAAACTTGGATTTTTCATATCCATATTCATCCTAACAATTTAAAAGAAAAAATAGAGGTGACATATCTGATGCACGGAATGCCCATTTTTTGGTCTAATTTGACTGTACTATCAACAGATTTAACACTACGCTATCACCTCACAAACGTCAAATTAGTGTTGTGTCAAAATAGGGGTGAATTCACAACGACTTGGCGTGGGATTATAATAATTCTAGAATTTCAAAATCTAAGATTCGATTAAGTACGAGAAACCCGATCGTGTACTAATCTCGGCTTATATGTAACTCAGGATTTCCTAATTCATGTATATTCCAACCGTCTTGCAACCGGCCGTGAGTTAATTTTTTCATTACAACTCATCAGTCCCACTTACTTCATTCACGCCCCTCTCCTTTATGTTTCTTTTCTTTACGTGACCTTTTTTGGTTTCGTCTATTAAAATTTTTTCACGCCTCTCGGAGCAATACTTTTATCTTTTCCTTTACATCGTCTTTGCGTATTTTTGGTTGCGTCGCCCCTCTTTCTTAGCCCATAGTCCTTTCACACATCTTCGCATCACGTTATGTTCGTTTAACGCCACCTCTCTTCACACCATTTTCAAGTCTTTTCTTCGCCTTTTTCCTTATTGTCTACACGAATATTTCACTCATTTTACCTTCCCGGGTGCTTCCTTTACACCAACGCAATTTTTTCTAATTCTTTGCGCTTCAGTTATTGGGGGCTTTCCTCGGACGTTTTGACATTTCGTTTTGTACACTTCTTTCCTTCGCATTTTTTTCTTTCACTTCCTATTGCCTCTATTGACCATTTTACTTTCTTCACAACTTATTCATGCATCTGAATGCCTTTTTTACACTTCCTTAGCAACTTTTTTACGCCTCATTACTCCTTTCGCTTTCTGTATGCATCACCTTTTTGGATGTTTCTTTCTTCACAGCTGTTTCTTTTAAACCTCCTTCTTTCACCTTCGTCCCTTCTCTTCTTTTCCTCTGGTTTCGTACTTTTTTCAAGCCTCTTTATTTCAAACTCTTCTTTAACGATACGTTTTTTTCGCATTTCTGCATTTTTATTTTCTTTAAGCTTCCCTACGTCTGTTTCCTTTACACATGCCTGTTTTTCTTACCCTTTATCATTCAGATTCATACTTCCTTCCTTCGCACATTGTTCACTGCACGGATCCTTCACGTCTACGACTTTACTGCTCCCATTCTTTACCAGTGATGTACGGTTCCATTTTTTGAAAATCCATTTATCGTCTCACTTCGCTGTTTTTCACATATGTTCACCCCTTTTTTATGCTGTTTCTTGACACCTTTAGACACTTTGGACGCATTTTTCTTCTGTTCACCTCATTAAATTCCACATATACGAGTATCTCCACCATGTCTCTTTCCTCTTCGGTTCCTTTAACGCCTCATTTGCCCTTTTCGGTGCTTTTATTTGATATCTATTCCTTCACGCCTACATCAGAGTTGCCTCGTGCCTCTGTCCTTACCATAGTCCCTCTTGAAATTTCTTTCATATAGGCGTGCCAAAGGGTCTTCAAACTTTGTTGTCTTAAGGAGGGGGCTACCCCATGAATTTTTTCCCGAGATATTGTTTCTGAAAGTGAAATATGCATAACTTTTATCTGCAACAACCAATTTGTCTCAGATGTTGCATACGTATGCCTCCAGTGGTGCCAAATAAAATTTTTGAAAATGAGGGGGGGTAGAGGTAAAATCACGTTTTACTCTTCATAGTATTCTTATGAAAGGTCTTATCTTGATATTCTAATTAAAAGCATCAGTGAAAATAACAGTTTTCTATCAACTGCCGCTCTTCTTCCATACCCCTTATCAAAATGGGGGATAGGGACGAGAAAACTAGTGTTATTCTTCATTGGTTTCAACAAAAGGAATTCATTTCTACCAACCACATTACTCCTTCTCGACTCCTTATCTTGATCGGTTATAATTCATATGACGAGTGTCGGAGGAGAGTACATAGAAAAGGCGAATAGAACTTCCATTGGTAATGTCAAAACTTTAAGGGCGAGTACCTCGAATACAGGGTGTCGAAGGAGACTACTCAAAAGGCAAAATGAATCGTCTGGACAAGACAAATCTATTGATGATGTCGAAATGTAAGTGGGAATATCTCGAACATGAAGTGCCGTAGGAAGCATTGCGGAGAATTTCTCCAAGAGCTATTTAGGTTAAAAAATGCAGTTTATCTGTACAAGAGTTGTGCACAATTTATGCTTGTTTTGTTAATGCCTTCTTTACGCTTCCGTTACATACGTTTCTCTTCGTTAAAACTTGTTAGTTCGACATTTCCTTTTGCATTTCTTTTATTCGTATATTCTCCCTTTCCCTCTTCCCTTTACCCTCCGTTTACATTTTCTCGACATATTATGAGCGATCCTCGAGATCGTTTATAATTTTGTATTGCTGTCTGCCTGTCCATCTGTCTGCCTGTCTGTTTGTCCGTGTGCACGATAACTTTGTGTAGAAACGTCCAATCGCTTTGAAAATTAATACACGTACATGTCTTCAGGATATTGTTTTTCGGACTGCAACTATGCAGATGCAAAAAAATTTTTTATTTGTTAAATTTGGTATGTAGGCATCTCAAATAAAAGTAAAACTAATGCCGATTCAAAAAATTTGTTTTACAAGCTATGCTATTCTGGTGGGACAGAATCAACCCCTTAAGGTGTATTGAAAATGTCTGTGTGAAGATCTCGAGGATCGTTCGGTATTCTGTTGTATCGGATTTTTATTACCCCCTTCACAACATTTTTACACTACGTTTAAGGTTTTCTTCCTGCATGGATTCTATATGCATACGCTCTCTTTATTTCTTCCGCTTTCTTCATCCGGATTTTGTTCAAACTCTTTTTCTTTACACCTCTTTTTTTTAAGCATCGTCTTCCATTACTTACTTCATTTCAGACTTCTTTCACATTCCTTCTCCTCAGACAATTTTCAAGCCGTTGAAACGCCTTTTCAACTCTTCCTTCGTCCTTTAGGCGTCTTTTACGCCCCTGCTTTAAATTTTCTTTTCTAGTCTTTACACGTATTCGCCACTTATCTTCATGTCACTGCGGGTTTCTCAAACAGTCAGACCTCTTTCCTTTTCACATAGCTTCCTCTTCATTCTTGCCATTATCACGCGTTTCACACTTATTTCATTCTAATCTCTACGTTATCTTCGCACTTCCTTTATTCCCGAACCATTCACGCCATCTTCAACGTTTCTCCTACCTTAATGTGTTTTACGCCCCCTAGTCCAGTATGCTGATAATTTTGACCTGCAAAAGGTGGTGTAAAAGATGTTATTGTTTTAAATCATCCATTTGGGTCCAAATAACAGGTATTTGAAGAGTGCACACAAAGTTCCCGGCACAACTTTTGGCAGTCAAAAATCCCCAAAATGTTTGGCATTTTTTCAGTTTTTCGCTTAAAACTTCCATATTTTATGAATAACACTTCTTTAGTAAATTAAAGAAAACAAAATTCTGCGTGGATAAAAAAAAACAAACAAAATCGGTCCAATAGAAAATTTTTTACAAGCGATCAAAAGACGCCCTCTTTTTCCAACGAATTTCAAAAGTTGGTCCAATTTTAAATTGCTGGTATTTTTTGAACCCTCTGATGATGTTCTGCAATATTTAGGGACGGGGGTAGAGGATTTTATCGTTCCTTTAGGTGCCACAACGCCTTAAAAAATGGTTAACTGAGTTTTTTATAGAAAAATTGGGAAAAATGGGCGTTTTATGATCGCTTCTAAAAATTTTTCTATTGGGCCAATTTTGTTTGTTTTATCGACGCAGAATGTTGTTTTCTTTAATTTACTAAAGAAGTATTATTCATAAAATATGGACCGTTTTCGAGTTTTAAGCGAAAAACTGTTAAAAAAGTCCGAACATTTTGAGATTTTTTGGCTGCCAAAAGTTGTGCCGGGGAAAAATTTGTGTGCACTCTGCAAATACATGTTATTTGGACCCAAATGGATGATTTAAAACGATAAAATCGTTTACACCACCTTTTGCAGGAATCGGCCCTTCTGACTGCTCCGCATACTGGACTGCAAGCCTTTTACACCTTCTTCATACTATCTTTACGCACTTTCGAGAATCTAAATGCTTTTTCTCGCCTTCTTCAGATACCTAAATTCCCGCCCTTTTCTTCTCAAATTCGCGCTTCTATTACGCCACCTTCACATCTCGTTCGTGTCTTCTTCGAGTTTCTTTTTTTTAAACTTTCCTCCATTTAGGTATAGGCTTTACTCACCCTAACACTTAAGAGTACGTTCTCTACATACGGCTAGGGAAGCGCTCCGCGGTCGGGTGGAGAGGATCGCAGTCGGAGGCGGGCATTAGCATATCCCTACTGCAGTATTTTCTGACCGATTTGAAAGGAACGTATTTGAACTTATTCGTAAGGTACGCGTACTTTCAAATTTGCACTGCTATACCATACCGGATAGTGCCTTGCGCGACGCAGTATACAATTTATAATTAAGAATCCATTACACGATAATATATTTCGGTACTTCATCGTTTTTGTCAATGTTTTCTTTCCCTTTTTCTTTCTTTTTTCTTCATTTTGTGACATGTCCTAATACAATATTATATTGTCAACAGGAAACAATAAAAGTTATGAGTTATGAGTACTGAAAAAGGGATTTAATTAAATTCAAAAACCTTTTTGAAATTACTCACAGTATAGCCTGTACAAAGCTTTCACCACTTACTTATATAGACGCATTCTACAATGCCTCTAAACAATTCAAAAAATTATTACCTATCGTTATACTTCGGAAGCAGTGTTGGGCATGTCCTGTTAACGCATTACAAAAAAAAATGGAACCATATCGTATATTGTAAAAATCAGATTTATAGATATTTTTTGGAAATTTTAACCGAAGATTCTTCTAGTAAAGGCAAACATATCGCATATTGTAAACATTAGGTGTGTGCATGCGCACTGCGCAGACTACTCAAAGGCTAAGTTTCTTATTTATAAGAATATTAAATGCCTCAACTTATTTTCCTTTGTACGCATAAATAAGGGAATCTTTCGGGAATTTTCAAATTAGCTTTAAGCAACACAAAAATACCTTATGTTAAAAATATTTATTTATTATGTACAATGGTTTAATTCTTATAGTCATAAGGTACACGACTCATTCACAGCAGTAAGGAAAAAAAATGGAATATTTTTATATACAGCGTGTTTCAAAATGAATAGAGGGGTTTTAACATGTTATAATATTTAATACATCAAACTTACAGCCACAATTGTCAAATGTTCAAATGAAAGAGAAACTCAAACAGTTTTACATAATAGCCTACAAGTGTTCAATGTGAGCACCATTCGTCACTTGGCATACGTCAAGACGGTCATCATTGTTCTCTACCCTAAAACGGTATAAAGATAAACACATAAAAAATCGATATGGAAAATATTACGTTTTCCTTTTTTCTATCTCTGGGGATTCAGGTGAAGATTCGGTAATATTGGCAATGATTTCTACATTTGGCAGAATACTTTCCTTTTCCCTATAACATTATAAAGATACTAAAAATCAAAGAAAAAAACATATGTTGAAAAATAGATAAAAAAGTAGATTCTAGTCAAACTACCCACTTCTAGGTTATCAAACACATCGTGTCGATGAGTAGGAACTAAAAATGGATGATTTATTATGTTGATGGGCAGCATTTAATTAAATATCGCTGTCCTCAAACTATTTAAGGTCGTAGCTGTACTAAAAAATGCGCTTTTTTCCAGAACTATGTGCGTGCGCAAGTAAAAAAGTTTAGTTTTTAATCTAACACTACGGCCATATTTTGAATAACTATTTTACCGTAACGACGTTTTTACAGTGTTATGGCTCTAATTTTTATAATAACTGATTCTGTTTTTTATGATAGATCCCTAATTACAGTATGTCTCAAGTTACGTGACTTTTTGGACATGTGTTTGACACAAAAAATTAAAGAAATAGAGAGACATAAAAAAATTTATTTATAAGAAAAATTCTTTATAACTCGACACAGCTTTTTATTTGCTAATTAATTGCTCCTTTTCGATTTTTCATTATTTTCAAAAATAAATCCAAAATATTGCTAAAACTGAATGAATTTTGACGGACGGACGGGTGGATAAAACGCTCACAATTTAAAAGTTACCGGAAAACGTATAAACCACACTAAGGAAAGATTGACTTCCATTACTTTAGCAATTAATTCATAACTTTTGTTCCTATTGACACCACATTTCAGCGCAATCGGCCGCATATAAAAAAAGTTGTTGTGCACACGGACGGACAACAATACAAAAATATAAAGGACCACTGAATAGGTAAGGTATGATTTAGAAAAAGATATTTGAAATACCTTTCTAATAGTAACAAAGGTGACGCACAGACAATTCGAAATCTCGTATGTATTATCTATGGAAATATACTTACGTAGTTCTAGATGTTGGCAAAATATTTTTGGTCGAACAAGGAAGCCCAACAGCACGAGCCCTAGAACAAATTATTTTACTACATGCTGGTAGCTATAAAAAATAACTTACGCATTGTATTTATAGATATTATTGGATTTCTTCCTGCGAATAGATAACCGCAACCTTCTCTTCGCTCCTCTTCTGTAGTTAGCTTCCATGTGTAATTCCACTAAAAGTTATCCACCCGATAAGAAACAAACTGTTGACACAATAACACTCCTGTTTTTCCGCGTAAAAATTCGCTCAGTATATATCATATATCTAATGCTCTGTATATATTCCGACGCTCACAATTCACAAAAGGTGATAAAAATTATATTTTTAAAAGCACCATACAGTAAAGGCTACAGCACAACTGACTCCGGTCCTGAATACTCACACTAAACATTAAGTCGCGCCTCTTTAATAAAGAATATGTAGCTTCGCCAGATGTTATACGAGTCGAGTAGCGTTGTAGAGGTGTGGGACTTAGTATAAAATTTTGAGTAAATTGGATTCTATCCTTTGATGTTAGGTACCGATGTAAAGATAAAGGACCCATCTATGCCTCTCTTGTAACAGATTTTTTATATAATACTCGAATTTTGCATAAATAATTGTAGAAATGCATGATATTTTCAGTATTTTCAGGTGCCGTAATTATTAACATTTAAAAAATATCAAAAATCTGTTACAAGAGAGGCGTAGAAGAAAGGTTATAGAATCCAACGTAACTTTCACGATGTTGCTAACTAACGCCGTTTTCGAAAAAATCGCTAAGAGCTGAACGGAAAATGCGTAAGTTATTTAATACGCGTAGCGGGCTCTTAACACTTCTTTTGTATCCTTCTCAGATCTCTTTCGCGCCTACATTACACCTTCACACGCCTCTCCCATAGTCTCGTTTCTTACCGCAACTTCTTCACCTCTTTTACTAAAGCTTCCCTCCCTTGACCAAAAAAGCAGAAAAAAACTACGTGTTGAAAAACGACTTGCGCTTCTGCGTTATTGCATTTTTAGGTTTACTTTTACCGATCAAATTAGCCCTTCCAGGCCAAATTTCATTAAAAAACCATGTCGAAAAGGAATAATAGTATCTTATACAATAATTTAGTTTGTATATCAAAATTTCATTACTTTCTTTATGGTATTGTTAATTAACCCACATTATAGGTATCTATGTTGTAATTCTTTCACTTAGTCATATTTTAATTAGAGGCGTTACACACTGGTCGAAATTTATTTAAAGTCACCTTTCATGATGGTTTTAGTTAATTTCAATATCGCGAACTTTGAATTTTATATTTTTGCCTTAACCTTTTCCCGCAAATATGTTTATATGTTTACAAAAATTCAAATAGCCAGCTTCTTCTGAAAAACGAAGCTCGATATGAACAAATCAGGCTATACTTTGTTTCAAGGGTGCTGAACCTTTCGTCACACTATCTGACGTCATAGCAAAATTAAGGCAGGTCGTAAATTAGTAGTTGGTTTACATATTGTCACATTGACGTGTCAACTTATTTATTAAGGTGTCACTATCGTTCATCATTATTAGACCGCCCAAGTTGACAATCACTTGTAAGGCATCTGGTCCTGATAGGTTTTTTCCTGTTCTTAGGTTTTATAATGGCTAAATGGTCATGTATTTTATGTAGAGGAAGTCCGTTGGTATGAATTAAACCTTTTCCACCGTTTGTAATCACCTCATGTAACCGATTCTTTGCACCGACAATCGAAATGGATACTGCCAGAACATCCGAAACTCTTTGAGATGAAGTGTATGATGGTTACAGAAAACGCATAGGAACATTTGTAACTTAAAGTTTGTTTAGGCAGTTCGTAAATTAATATTTTGTTTACATAATGTTGATGTGAAATTAAGTATGCTACCAATGTGAAGAATACGCGTTAAGTTGCGCGAATTTTAATGACCCTTAACTAGCCATTTGCAGAAGTAGAATAGGCCATGGTTTATCGGTAAGCCTTTCGCATTTATACATCTTACAAATTTGAGATAAAGCGTAGTCATTATACCACAGGCTCATTGAAATAACAACGCATACCTACATACAGTTTCTGTTCTTTTGCCACACAGTCGAGATATTCGCATAAGGATCTTGAATACCTTCTGACCCGATTTATTTAAAAAAAAACGCAATTGTGAGAGAAAACAGGTAGTGATGATATTTATTCCTGAAAAAACTCTCAAATGTTCATATTCAAATCGTATGTACAAAAGAAAAAACGACACTACACCACAAATCCATCTTCTGATCCTGCATGGAGTATTAGGTATATACCGGACCCCTTCACCACTTCTTTTTCTAACTGTTTTGAGAGTACCATCTTGCCAGCTTCTTCTAAAAGACCCTTTACTGTATATCCAGGTTTCTTTCGTCTAAAACCACAGGTCGTAATTGAAAGAGTGAAGTTTCGTTGTGTTTAAAGTCTCTCAAAAAATGTAGTCTTCTTTGAACTGCATAGGGCTGTTCCATTAAAAATAATCTATTGGAAACGGTGCATCTCCGCCACGCGAATTTCAGTTTCTTCAAACTGCGGGACAAAGAGGTAGCAGATATTTCTACGCCATCAAGTCGTTGAAGATTACTGTGTAAGGAACGGAGTGTAATATTCTCACCTATAAAATCAATTCAATACCTAAGTGTTCTAGCGAACCTCTTCATTCTGTGTATCGGTTCGTCATATTTACCTAATGGTAACGGGAATGACCTAAATTCATGATATGAGCGAATCGAACCATTATGGTAAAATTTTTAAAATACTTGTCTATTAACGGCGTTGCTGCACTGTCGACTTGCCTAAGCGTTTTTAACTTTGATGATATTTACTTCACTTTTAACACAAACTACCTAATCAAAAGGCATTTAACACTGGAAATCTGTCTATAACGAAAATCGTTTGACGGATTGATATTATGACAGATCAATTGGTTTATTTGTCACGACTTACGTTAATGACGTAATTTTTTTGTCTCAATCGATTTAAATGTAATGAAGAGAGAATCACATTTGTGACGTCAGGCTCAGCACCAGTGAAACAAAGTTTACTACTTCCATTATTTCAAACCAATTGGTTTGAAATAATGGAAACGTCTTTAGATGTTATCACATAGAACAGATTATTTACCATCTTGTATTTCATAAGAGAATTTCGATTTAAGCTGAGGCATTCAGTTTCTATTTTGTTTTGGATTATTGGGTGTCTACTTCGAGAATGAAGTGGTATTCATGTGTATAGATGTAGCTCTCTGACAAAAACGTTTTACTAAGAACACCTTTCTAAGTAATTACTACTTAACTTGCAGTTATTAGCAAGCCGTTTTTACGGTCCATAAACTTAAACGGTAGCGTAGTGATGAGCTTACCCTCGCGTCGTCTCGCATAAAGGTGTGATGTAAGCACGTCAGGATCATCTACTTTCAAAATAAAAAAGAAGCCTTTTTATGTCCGGACCGGCTTTGAGTTATTATACGTTACACCATTTAAGTTACGTATTATTATATTTAAAATAAGATTATACATCACACATTTCTAACGTACAATAAAAATTCCGATGTAATTGTATCGCGTTATGTTATATGTCACTTAAAAGTGTTGCTATCTCGGTAATTTCCATGACAAAAGGCCCGCTCCCTTCGGGGCTTCTTTTCTATAATTATCGTTGGTAGCATCCTCGATACTTAAGGAGAGGAACATTTAGATTCGACCCGAAGAAGAATTAGGGTTTGTCGCCTCCGTTTTAAACAAATCATAGAGAACGCGTTCAAGTGGAGAAACCGTGAAAACAATCAATAATATTGAGATAGAATGATCGCGCGGTGAGCCGATAATAAGAGGGCCAGAACTCCGCCTCTCGCCGCAGGCTGCCACCAGGGGTTGCATAGTATACCCGCCGCCCTAATTACAGACGGACAAAAACTCAAAATAAGAAAATAACTGGGAAAACACCGCGTTCACGATAGCCTACCTGAGGTGTGAGAAAATATGTCGGGTTCATTATATCATCAAGCCATCGTCATGAAGACAACGATTGTCTAAAATTACAAGGCGGCTTCTACTTCTCCGCCTATATAACACCGCGCTGAGATGAAAACACGTAAATTAAATTCTATCACAACAGCAATAAGCCCGAGATACATTTTGCTAAATTCGTGCCAGGTTATTATGTTTATCACTTTCAGCTTTATCGTGCCCGCTTTAATAGTCGAATTCCATTTAATTAATTGGTGCGTGCTGAAATTCGAGCTGGCCCCGTATTAATTTCCTCATTAACCACTGTTAACAAACTTATATAATTACGCCCGGGTACATCAAGCGATGCCGCCGAGGTGCACGCGATTTTTTTCTTACACCTGTAATTTAATGCTCATTAGTTACCCCTTCGCTTTCGTTTCAGAGAACCGATGGACAGCTTGTTCATGGAGCAGCACTTCCTACGAAATTCCCTGCGACTCTACGGAGATCCGCTCGATGCAGAAAACAACAATTCCGGCTCGCTTTTCTCGGCCGCGATGATGGAGAAGGCTCGTGCCCACATACAGATGTGGGGAAGAGCTGGAGGTAATCCCTACAACCCCAGTGAGCTACACGCGATGTTGCTCAGTGGTGCACCAGGACAGTATTTAGCACGTAGCGCAGTTCCTTTAGGTATACCCACACAATTGTGGAGTCAAAGCGGTGTCTCATGGCCTAATCCCATTCACGGCGGATTGCCCCCCGGTTTACTGGGCCCGCCGCCCCCTCACAGGCCGCAAATAACTCCCCCGCCTCCCCCATCCTCAACACCAAGTTCCTCGTCTGGATCGCCCAGTCCTACCACCGTAAATAGCTCTTCCGAATTACGTCTCCCCAAAGCACTATTTCCGAGCACCTTACACCGCTTCAGCCCGTACACTCCCTCACTGTCAAGAACTTCAACCTCATCCATTAGCCCGACGTCACGGTTAACCCATTGATCAACTGTCCTGCTGTAATCCAATATCCTACCAAAGAAGTGTATGCATAAGACTACTGTATGATATCACTGTACATAATCAATTTAAATATATTTATTACTTAGTAGTTTATTATGTACAAAGAAGTTCTTTACGTCGTATATTTTGTATAAATGTACTATTTATGACAGTATTACGTTTACCAGTGTGTTTTTCGAAGAGAGAAACTAAACTATATAGTAAATAGACTCTCGCATTACGTGCGGATCATTGTGTTCCTTATTATTGTGTAATTTTCGTGTGAATATACAGTCACGTGTATATTTTATATTATTTGTTTATTGCCTGGGATATTCTGTTTATACTTATTAGCCTCGTTGTTGTTATGTAAATATAAACATTACATGGATTACATTAAACCAACTTAAACACTCGCAACTAGTTTTTCTTTTGTTCTGAGTTCATTCCATATATAAGTTGAAAGCTCTTTCAAATTTTTGACACACTTGATTTGAGAATTGGGGGCAATAAATCTTCGTCACTGCTGCAGTTAAGAAAATGTTGTGACATTTCGGGGTTGCATAGAATTTTATTAAAGGAAGAGGGTCTATTCTCATTCTTATCTCTGACATGCTGATTTAGCATGTCAAATTGTGAAAAGCTGAGAACGGCATTTGCTATTTAAATTGTGACGGAGAACAGCGTTTTGAAATTGGGCTGAAATGCAGAACAAGGTAAGTGAAATTTTTTTAATTGTAATATTGAGTCGCTAAATGAGATGGTAGGTAGGTACAATTGAATAAAGCTGATGATAAAATGGTTTGACAAGAATCGCGTGTTGCGTGTATAAATTGTAACAATAGAAAAATTTCGCATTCACGATTAGTAATTATCTGACAATAAAACCATCCCATATTTTTCATGAGGTATGAACAGGCATTACTATTCCGGTAACTATTAATAGAAAAATGTTTAATGGGAAAGATGGCGTAGTGATAACTCATTTTAAATGCTTAAAAGACTATTCAACCGTCCATAGCTAATATAACATCATAGAGTAAATTAGTAGGTATCAGAAACTTTATCTCGAAAAAGAAAATTTATTTCGTTTTATACCCATATTTACCTATTTACTTACATTTAGCACTTAACTTCTTTTGTCACGTTAGACTACTATATCAATTATTTAACTGCTATTTACGTAATTATTATTATTAAGTAATCATCATAAATGTAGTGTAAGTATCTAGTTTTGTGTTAAATGGAATGGGAATTAAAAGTTTAGTTAGATTTTTACAAAAACTTGTCAAAAAGTGGACATTAGGTACCTGCTGGAAATGTGTGCAAACTTCATTGCGACGATTTTTAATGACTTAGTGACACCAGTTTGAAGTATATAACTTATTAATTTATATTTTGGTTACTAAAATTAATAAAATAGATCCATAAATAGTAAGTGTGGGTGCTGCTCAAGAGTCACGTACGAAGCAACTTCCCCTTTCAATTAATTTTGAATTATGCAATATTTTTAGCATTGGAAATATTTATGTTCGTATATGGGTACAAGGTTACAAGTTTAATTCAAGGTCAAAAGACAACGTATCAGTTGCTACACTCGCTCACAAGCTCACTCGTGTCGCAAATGTAAACCTCCTGCATAATAAGCGTCATAACGTGAGTGATGTGCGATAATCTTAGATTGAAATCTGACTTTTCCTTCACCTACCGATCATGGCCGACTATGGTACACTCGTCACTTGAAGCGACACATTTGTCTCTTAGCCTTGAACCAAACTCATAACTTTGTACCCATACACGAACATAAACATTCCCAATGTGAAAATCGGATACAGTTTTGAACACCCCCCCCCCCCCCCCCCCCCCCCCCCCCCGAAATAATCTTTGTTCGCTCTTTGTTTGTAGAATTTGTTTGTTTGGTTGTCTGACAAGTGTTGGTGCTCTTTTAACATAAACGTTGGCCTTAACATGAATCTATGATTTATACCACAAATTTCATAGTAGGTAAATTTCCTTGTTCCAAAAATTATATTTTGCTCATTTCTCTGCCCTGCCTGATGCTCCTTGCGGGCACGTCTCCGCTCGCGCCGCTCAGGTCCAAATGTCGTGGTTATTTTGGAGATACTGCAGGCACTACATTTTAGACTAATAATTGTATGGCAGTCGGGTCTACTTCAATTCCACTCTGATTTACTTCAAACTCAATTTTTTACATTAATTATAAACTCGAGCTCATTAGTGACGTTTACGTGCAAACAATTCCTATTATCATATGAGATGAGATGAGATGAGTTCTTAGAAATTACGGTCCTTAGGACGTCGGGTTTATTAAAACCATTTAGATTTATTAAAGATTATGAAAAGTTGTTTCCATTGATGACTAGGAACTTACTTACGAATAAAGTCTTAATTTGATTTGGAAGCATACTCTAAATTACGCGCGCTTGTGAAAGCTTCAACCAAAGGATAGGTACAAGCCAAAGAAATGTTCTGCATTTACAGAAAGCGACCTAAGAGGATTTTTAATTTCACCCATATGACAGTTTCAAAAGTCATACTTGAACTATCATTACTTGGCAACTTTAAAGCACATGGACGGAGATTGTGATTCAGGTATAATAAAATAGTATATTAAGAAACAAGTTTTATAAGTGGCGCGTTTAACGCACGAGTTCAAGTTTAGAAAACGAGCCGCTTGCGGCGAGTTTTCTAATGAACGAGTGCGATGGGGCGTCTTATGAAAC